AGAAAGTAAGGCAACTGGTGTACGGCTCGCCGCACGGTGGCTCGCTGCACGCCGGCTATCCTGGTACCGGGCCCGGTAGCGGGCCAGCGGGCGGCCCGACCGTGGCCCATCCGCCGCCGCCGCCACCGCCGCCGCCGGGCTCGCAGCACGCGCCACCCTCGCACGCGCAGCACGCGCACCTCATAGCGCATGCACACGCGGCGGCGGCGGCGGCGGCCGCCGCCGCCTCGCCGAGCTCGCACCTCGTGCCGTGCTCGAGCCCGGGCCCGATGCTCGCCGGCGGCCCGTACCAGCAATCATGCCCCTCGCCCCTGCCGCCCCATCACGCCGCCTACCATCCCCACATGTCGCACTCGCACCCCCAACGGTAGTACGCGCTCGCCGCTCGTCGGCCCCTCGCGCTCCGTCCCCCGTTCCCGCCGCACGCGACGTTCTGACACGTTTCAACGATCGGCGGAGGAGGCGCACCGCAAATCTAAGCGTGCCACTTTTCTACACGTGGAGGAAAGTCCTTTGTTATGCGACAAGTTGCTTAATATGGGACAGCGGGGTTTCGGTTCAATTAACAAGCGTCGTCCGTTGGTCCAAGTGAAATCTGTTCAGTGGAAAATTCATCGTCGCGAGAAAAGATTTCTGATTGAAAACCCGCTATCTCACATTAGAAGCCTATCTCGCGATAGGGAACCTTCCTCCATACGTGTAATTTTTGCACGCTTCTCTCCGTTCAAAATCGCGACGCGTGACTTCTCTTTAAACAGAAATGCGTAAAATGACGCGGGTCTGGTCGTACCGTTGCGTGTGAAAAGTGCTTCACCAGATTACACATACGTGTGAAAATACACACTTAGATTTGCAGTGCGCTAGAGATCGCGACGCCGGCGTTGCTGAGGCGCGTCTCGTTGCCGCGAGTCCGAATGTACTCGGAAGAGAAAGAGAGAGAGAGGAGATTAATCTCGATAGAACGACGCGAGCAATAACGATTGTTACAAATTTGTGCAATTTATATTATGTGTAGAAGGAACGACGGTCGTCGCGGTTATGCCGTGAGACACGGCACGCGTAGAGAGAGAAAGAGAGAAAGGCTTTGCGGGTCGAGAGGCCCCAAAGGCTCGTCAACAAATCGCCGTTTAATTGTTCGCGCATTTGACATTTTTTCAACGCACGCTTCAACGTCCGCAGACTTTTGCTGCGTGTCTCGTCCATTTTTCACAAATTGACTCCGTTCTACCCGTGAAACACGGCGTACAACTATTTCGGCGTACGCCGACGCGAGGCCGCGTGCGCGCGCGCGGCTTTTAGATACCGAAATAATTTCTACTTCGGGCATCGCGCGTGCACCACTGACGTAATTTCCCTTTAGACGTTGTATCGCGCCGGCGGGCGCGCCGCGGAGTCACGTATGGTATTTATTGAATCATGTACGACGGACGCGCGAAACGGGGAGCTCGCAGGGGGGCGATCCTCCCCCCTGCGATCGGGTGTTCTTTGTTTTGGCCGTACATGACTACGGCCGGACACGCGCGCGCGCGCAAATCTAGTCCAATCTCCCGATTTTACTTAAATATACGCACTCAAATATATCTATACATACATGTGTGTATTGTACACCGGTGAATCTCGATCAGGTGTCGCGCGCGAAAGGGTTGGTAAGGGCGCGTGGTATCGCCGAATCGCGAAGAATAGAGAACGATCTGAGACGAATGCACAGCGTAGGAGCGCGAGTTCTGTCGGCGTCCAGGAGCCCACGGGAATGGTTCGTGAGATTCGGATCGGACGAGTGTCGGGTGAATCGCTGTGGTATGGCCAGGGCCACAAAGCTCAGCTTAGGTGAAACAAAGTAGAGTAGTGTGCGTCGACGAGAGTCACCGTGCAATAGAGACATTGCGAGGAAACAGAGAGTATCGTTATGGATTAATGGATTAATTAATTAATTATATCTGTAGATCTTAGTTACGTAACGTAGCGTCGTGTGATCAATTGCTCGGTGAGGACAATCATGGATAATCGAGTATAGTTTAGCACTCGTTCGTCCAACAGCTCTCTCCGTTTTCTTTTTCGTAATTCTCTCCTCTTTTTTTTTTATTTGTTTACTCTTCTAATTTAAAGCAAATCGCGTATTATTTATTGAGGCGGTCGATATTTTTTATTTATTATACATAGAGGCAAAAGAGCACACCGGTTGGGCACGCATTGCCGTTATTGTAAGCCCGACGTTTGTCGCAATGTTGGCGTTCTTTTTTGGTATCGTGTATCTTACGACTTTAAGCGTTGTCGAAAATACTCCCCCTCCGTGTCTCTCTGCGAGAGAGATCGGACGCACTTAATTTATCTCCGTTGGTATTGTCGAAGATGCAAAGATCCCCCGTCAGGCGAACTGATATTTAGACTCACCAAACCGCGGTGGTGTGAGTGCGAATTCGGCGGTGCACGCTTAATACTGTTACGCATTCCCCCTTCCCTTTTTTTTTACCGAGCATCGTTGTGCCTCGTCCATTGGTTCTTTTTGTTTTTGTTTTTATTGTTTGCTGTGTAACGTGTTGTGTACTGGCATGTGTAGCTATCTGGATTGTCTTTTCTCGCAGAATAAGTAGCTAGTATTTAGACTACCTTTTAATTTAATCCAACCCCCCCCCCCCACCCCTTCCCCAAATCTCTATCCATATCGATCCGTTCATCGACATCGTGCATGCGTATGTGTGTATGCATTGTTTGCTGAGATATTCTGTATTATATTCGCGGAAAAGAGAACCGAGGAGAAGGCAAAGGTGAAAGAGGAAGGGAGGCAACGCCGGGAGGCCCGCGGGGCCTCGAATAGACATGTAGAAATTGTAATCTACCGCGCGTCTCGACATGCAGAGAGTACAAATAATAATAATAATAATAATGATATTATGATTTTAACGATAATCTGCGAATAATGCGGCTCTTTCACACGACTAGTTTGTACTTTAGCATTTTTTGTACATAGCATAGTAACTGTAAAAAATACTGTGATAATATTTATATATTTTTTACGCCTATGGAAACGTACACGCACTCACCCTCCAAACCATACACACACAAACACAGACATATACGCACGTTTACACCGTCACAAGTTTCACCTTCGTCTTTGACAATATAGCCCCTGCGTTCAAGTGATTTGATTTTCTGCTAATAGACTCTCATTGCGCACGATGTCAAGTTTTGCTCTCGCGAGCCAGGTAGGTATCTCTCAAAACTTATAGTTTCCTTTACGCGTCGGTATCAATGTCAATAATCCTCGCACCGAAGTAACTCCGAAAGAAATTTCTCTCACGCGCGCTGACGTGTGCTTTCAGCTCTTTCGAGCAAATAGCCGAGACATTAAAGATCCCGCGGAAGAAGGGTAGAAGAATAATGTTGTCTCTCGATGTATATAAAAGCCAATCGATGGATTATTACTGAAAACAGCGAATAGTCACTGATTTACAGTTATAAGTATACTCGAGTCGAAAGTTTGGTACTATTTTGACACTTTTAAGACTAATTTACACCTACTTAGCTGATCTATACGCCTACATAGACCAGCAATAACCTGCTTTGACATAATATTTTTTGCTCCTCCCTTGAGTCTCTAATTCTAAAAATTTACTTCAGCTCCCACTTAAAAGGACCCACTTTAATGCTAAATTGGCAAGAGTAGAACTTTCCGACGCTATCAGTTTTAAAGGTATAGGATTTGCAATTTACTTTCGCTCTAATTATTTGCGCTATATTTTTTAAAGAAATATTTAGCGTTAAGTTACGGACGTTTGTAGATCACTTGAAAAGGGTCCAAATCCGGGACCGAAACGTCGTTTGTTTTTTTAAATAAAAACATTGGCCAGTGTAGGTCGTTTTTGGAAAACTACATGTCATTGGTTTTATATTACTGGCGGTATTAAATCTATTTGTGTGTTTCTAAAAATTTACTTCAGCTCCCACTTAAAAGGACCCACTTTAATGCTAAATTGGCAGATTTTGTACTTGCAGTTTGACCTCTTTTACTTTCCTACTATATAATAGAATTAAAGGCCTCAACATAGGCCCAAAATTTCTACTCGCGTACTTGTAACTGCAAATCAGTGGCTATTCGCTGTTGTCAATGATAATTCACCGATTGACTTTTAGAGAGTACGTTAGTCTTTCTAATTATGTGCAAAACTCACTCGGACGATTATCGACAATTCCTCGAGACTGCCGCCGTAGAATTGATTCCGCAAGCGTACTCGTTAAATCGGCGCAATCGCCCCGTTGAGTTTCTCCCGCGGTAAAAGAGCCACGGTAAACGGAGACGTTACAATCTTATATTTCGCGTTTCGGCCACGGGCCCGACATATGCCTATTTTTGACAATCTGGTTCGGGATATATTTAGAGGTCCAGAAACATTCCGCGGTGCGTGAGGGATTCCTTTATTTCTAAACGGTGCGTTGGAATCACCATGCGAGCTAAGTCGAGGGTGCGATATCGTTGCCGCGCGCGCGCAGCACATTTTGGAAAATAACGTCATTCGACGAGGACGAAACTGCCGCGCGCGCGCTCGCGCGTGCGCGCGCGACGACGGGGGTCGCAAGGTAGGTTTGCGCTTCAATCGACAACAATGTACTCGATGTACCGTTAAGAGAGGCGCTCGGCCGTTGCTTTGCGTACTTGTTTTTTTATTAATTAACAAATAATGACACGCGTGCAACGATCTTCGATCGTCCGGCGTGGTTTCGATTGGCGAAAACGATCGGTGACACTCGATCGAAACGAAATGTCGAGAGGAGTCATCGCGAGGATCGAAATGGCGAAAGAAAAGCCGTCGCGAATACAGCGAGTAGCAGACGCGCGGTGAGTGCAGGTAACTTTTGTTGCACGTCTCTTGTTTTTTCTCTCTCCGTAGCACGTAGAGGCAGCGTTAATAGTAAGTGACTTAATTAGTGCCGATTGCGAATATTGTATCCCAAAATACAAGACAATGATGCGTTCGAATGTCTCCACGATTTCATTTTGCGTTGACCGACGTGTGACGCTCTCTCATCTTCCATCTAACCGTCGAACTTGCCAGCGCGAGATGCGGAGCTGTAGGGACACTTCCTCACTTTGCGTTTGTACGATTTTCGAGAACGATGTCGAGCAACGAGCGCCTGGTGCGGTTCGAGGAAGCGGAAGCGAAGGGTAAGAAACGCAAGTCAAGATGGGGCACGCGACGGAGATCCCCGGTCTTCCCCGACGTGCCGGCCGCCCCGTTCGCCATGGGATCGTCCTCCATTTTGTTTTTCGAGGCAAGAAAGCGGCTTTTGCGAGCGTCGGTCTACAAATTGGCGGAAACCGCGTTAGCATATTATATCGCGATGTTTCTCGCGCGACCGAGCTTTCACGGCCCTTTCCGGCTGGCTCTTCCTGCGAGGGTGCGCCTCTTCAGGGCCCCGCGCGCCGGTGGCGCTCGCGGTACCGGAAGTGCGCGCGGAGCTTTCGCCATCCCGGGGGCAGCGAACGAAACCGCCGGGGTCGCACAGCGCGGTTCACGATTTAATGGGCGTAAACTCGACGCCCGCGAATGCCGTTCGTCCGCTCGTCCGTCCGTTACGCCGGGGTTGCGGACGAAGAGGACGCGCGTCCAGGTGTATCGCCTCTCGCGCTCGCGCAGAAGAGAGAGAGAGAGAGGGCGAAAGCGCGGGAGGGAGAGAGAACGAGGGACAGAGAGAGAGAGGAATAAGAGAGCGGGCCCCGCGATGCCTCCGCGAGGGAGACACCGAAAGAGAGAGAGGGGGAGAGAGCACCGCGCACTCACGCACGTACGCACGTACGCACGCTCGAAAGGTGGAAGCGGAGTTCCATATACGGTCACCTTTGTCAAAGCCCGGTTGTCGCCATATACAGGCAATGTTCGCGATGGCAGACACTTATATAGAGCCCGAGTTAAGAGTCAGGAATGTTGCTTTTTGTCGCGCCTTCTCTACGCACACACGTACACGCGCGTGTGCGCACCCTCCCGCGGCGGACGGCGGGAAGGGAGGGAGGGGGGGAGGGAGGGAGGGTGTAGGAAAAGCGGTGTGAGAAACGCGCGGCGCGTAGACGGAAGCGAGAGAGCCGGGGGCACTCGTGGCTTTTCGAGCTTTCCAATTGGCACCGCACTTTCCCGCGGACGATTCGCACGCGCGCGCGCGCGCATTCCGACCGCGCCGCCGCCGCCGCCGGATCGCGGAGGACGCGGCGCAAATTGCAAGGGAAACGCGTGTTCTCGTTTAACGCGGGAGATCCTGAACAATAGAGTCAGGGTCAGTCGGGGATAATTGGAAACTGGAGGAGTGAATAGAGACGCGGGCTCTGAAAACATGTCGAAAGAAGCGCCTTTCCCCCCCCCTTTTTTAAAAAGTGATTTTACGTAGTTCTGTAGTGACACTGTCAGTGACTTTATGTACTTGATGTCCGTTCGCGTTTATCCTCAGTTTCCAATCGCCTCGATTGAGCCTAAGCGGTATGACGTAATTGAGAAAATTAGTTTTCCGCAGTCCAATCTGTACGTGTGCGATTGAGAAGATTGGAAGCGAGGCGGATAAAGACGTTTAATTTCTCACGACGAAACGGGACCGGAAGAACCTTGCGCTTCGAGTTTTATCGCGGGAAAGAATAATCGCTCGGTCATAACGCTCGCGACTACGCCGAGAGAATTTTCCCTGAAAATTGATCCTGGAAAGCACGTAATCGCGGGACAGCGCGCGGCATTTCGAAGAACTTGATGGGGGTTTTCTCAAATTCTACCGTACATGTCGCATAGTGACAGGTGCACTAATTGTATGATTACCGGTAAAAAGTATTACATAATTTTCCCCGGACAAATTTTGAGAGAAAATTCTCTCCGCGTCTAATACAATGGAACCGCACAACAGCAGAGAACGTTAGGACTTTCTCCACATCTACGGCAATCGTAGCAGTTTCGCAAGATAAATCATTGCCGAGCGGCAGACGAAGTCCATGCAGACCGAAATCACGCTCGTAGGACCCGGGCGCTTTTCCGCTCGTCTTCGCCGCGCGCGCACGGGTCCGGAGAGGAAACGCCGGTGGCGGCGGAGTCCCGCGTTGCGAGAGGCGCCCCCCGGGCCCGGAGGGGTCGCGAGCGGAGCGGGCGAATTCGCGAGGAGGATGCCCCTTTTCCGCGGGTGCATCGCGCGCACTCGCGCGAGTGGAGTCCGCGAGAGATGGCCATATAAGGAGCGCGGACAAGATGCTCGCGCATCTCTCTCTGCGTCCGCTAGGTAGGTAGGTAGGTAGGTAGGTTGGTAGGTAGGTAGGTAGGTAGATAGGTAGATAGGTAGAGGTACGCACGTTTGTTTGTATGCACGCGCGTCCTGCAGTGTATCTATCGCTTCTTTGTCGTCCATCCCGATCCGGACCCTCCCCCCCCCCCCGCGAGAATAGACGTGTACCCCCCCCCCGTCTTGTCCACTCGCTCCGATCCCGCCCTCGCCCTGTCGACGACGGATTCGAGGCGCGGACGCACCCGATAATGCCGCTCTTTCTTCTCGGTTTCAGGAGGAAGCCGCGTCGCCCAGATCCGACGTCTGCGCCAACGAGAGCGACGGCGAGAGCAGCGACGGCGACTCTCCCGTCGTCCCCAAGGATTCTCTCAAGAACAATCACTCGGGTGAGTTCTCGCGCGCGGCCGCCGTAGGACGGCGCGGAACGCCCGGGGGCCATCGCTCGCGCTTCGATTAGAACACGCCTGGGCTCCTCGTCTCCTCCTCCCCTCTCAGCCCCGGTACGAGCGGAATACCGTACGCTTTCTAAAAAATTTAGACTACAGCTTGATTGTGTTATGGCATTCGTCACGAATACGAGAGAACTGTCCTTTTTTTTTCCCTCTATCGCCTTTGTTCGAGCCGGTCGAATCGGACGGAATGCACTCTCTAAAAGTCGGCGGATTATCACCGAAGACAGCGGGTAGTCGCTGATTTACGGTTATAAGTGTACCACTGCGATTCTCAGTATACTTATAACTGCAAATCAGTGACTGTTCGCTGTTTTCAGTGATAATCCACTGATTGACTTTTAGAGAGCGTCTAGCGCAGAAGAGAAATGTCGTTTCAGGAAGTTAAACTCTCGATCGAGACAAACGGATGTAGTTCTGATTTAAGCCTGATCTACAACGTGCTCTTTGGGTCTAGAGACATTTTTATACGAGCAAATGGAAACTCATCAAAAATTTGTCAACAACGTACTATCGTACGATGCGCAATTTGTCAACTTACACCTATTTTTTTAAACGTATGCATTGGCCAGAAGATAGAATGTTTCTAGACGTAGAGAGCGCAGTGTAGATTAAACTTTAATTCCGCGGACGTGTATTTCTCTCGGACGCTGTCTCGTACACGATTTCGTGTCGAAATTGCAAGAAAGCACACATTGTATTCTATTTCGAATAGTTACGCGCCGTAAACGTTCAACAGCGTCCTAGGAAATTTAGGCCCGGTTTCTCTGGAAACGGACAAACGTGAATTAAACTAATAGCGAATTCGGTTGCGAATTCGCTATAAGATTAAAGTTAAGCGGCGTTTGACGAAACCGGGCCCTAACACGCGGAAGGGAGAAACGTAAAGTTCGGGATAAAAGTGGCAATTCGCGTTTGATTCGGTCCCGTCGCGCGTCTCTCGGGAGTCAAGAAGGTCCGCGACCTCGTCCTCGCGGGAGAAACGGAGCACTTTTGCGCGCCGTTCGCCGCCGCGCGGGCATCATTAGCCGCCGGCCGAGGTTTGCGCAAGGTTCATTTAGATTAAGCTCCGCGGTTACGTCGATTTTCCGTCGTCCACGGCCGCGATTGTCCGCGATACCTTTCGCCGTTCCACATGGAGAGATAGGCCTCCCACGTAATTGATCTCGCAGTATTTTCATGGAATTGCGCGCCTTTCGCAAATCGTACGTCACGCTGGAAGCCGCGGGATGTATCCATCGCGCGCGCGTTACAAGCGCTAAGCCGCTTAAAGACCATTCGCGTTAGATCGCGCCGATATGTTATCGATACCTTCCCTCCCTTTATCGGGGGCAGAGCCCGCGTTTCCGCGTCGGGCCATCGAGGCCGCGATATACCCCGGACGATCCCGCGGGCCCGAGCGCGCCGTATCGGGTAGGCCGCCCTCTCGTACGCTAATCACGATCTAATTGCCGTCCGATACCATTCGCGTCGCGCTCGACCTCGTCGCGCGCGCGTTGATAACGAACAGCTGGTCGCACGTCGGGCGAGGCGCGGGCGCGGGGGTAAACATTCGCACGCACACCGCGTACGCGCCGCGGCGAAACGTGGAGGAGGAGGGGGAGGAGAGGACGGAGCGGGAGAGGGAGCGAAGCGTGAGAAAAGGTGGGAGGAGGGTGGACGCGGGGGGAGGGAGGGGGCGGGAGGGAGGGAGAGGGGACGCTTAAAATGCGAAAGGCGTGCGAGCGATGACGGCGTTATCCGTGTAGGGAGTACGCGAGCAGTCGCGCGCGGCACGGCGATGACCAAACTTAGACGGCAACCGTGCTGCCTAACTGGGAAGTAGGATCCGGTCGAGAGCCGCTCCGCAAAGAGCCGCGCGCGTTCGCGCGCGCGCGCGGATGCAGGTGTACACATAAATATCGATGCTAATGCCGTCGCGTGGATGCCATTCTACTGCTTAAACCGATCGCCGCGTCGCGATCGCGCTTTTTCCCCGCCTCCCCCCGCGACCGGCCGACCGGCCGTCGCTCCCGTTCGGCCACGCGAATTCGACGGTAGGCGACCCCGCGCGCGCAACGGGCCTTATTGCGTCCCTATATCGCGCGAGGGCGACGAATGCATAATGTATCTCCCCGCGGTGTAACTGAAGGCGCGTGCGGGAGATCCCGCCGCGCGGCCGGGCGGACGGATGTGTTGCCGCGCGAGGCCGCCTTTAATTAGGCGCGCTCGTTCGGCTGGAATATACGTAGAAAGCGCGCGCGCGCGGGAAGACGTTTTTTTCCCTCCCCTCCCGCCCTCCTCATCCCCCGCGGGTAAACGTGTACCTGCATATAGGGTCGTGTTCTCGAGAAAGTTTTTGGATGCTAATCGACGCGCTTTTCGCGTCAGCGAGCCGCCGAGCGCTGGCGCGTAATAGTTTTGCGCGGACTAACGGATTCGGCGTTGAAGCACACGGAGGGGAATTTTCTCTTAAAGTTTATCATGAAAATCGCACGATCGTTTCGAGGAACTTTGAGCTTTTCGAAGCTTCACCGTACAGTTTACCGGTAAAATGTACACCGAGTACAATTGCTAGTGCGGGATGTATGGGAAAATTTCGAAATGCCGCGTTGCCCCGCGATTACGTCATTTTCAGGATACATTTTAAAGGAAAATTCTCTCCGTGTACAGTGTAGGCCAGCGTTGTATCACCTCTCGATTCTTTTAGCATAACTAGTTTTACAGTGCACGAAGGAGAAATTCGAGTAACATGGTGTACTTTGTCGAACTTTGTTACCCCTCGTGTACAAGATGCACCTGTTATCGGGCGTCTACTTCGACGCACGAATGTTACACGGAAAAAACAATGTAGCTGCTGTAGCTAAAACTTAGCAAAATAGGGACAGCTAATATTTTAGTTGTGATAGCTCAATATTTTGCTACTGTGCCTATTGTATTAGGTGCGACAGCAAACGGTTTGCTGTCGTAGCAAAATATTGAGCTATCACAACTAAAAATATTAGCTGTCCCTATTTTGCTAAGTTTTAGCTACAGCAGCTACATTGTTCTTTCCGTGTATGCTCAGAGAAGCTGAATGTGGCATCATTTTGGCCGGTACTGCGTGTACCTTAGACGTAAACTGTGTCGCGACTAAAAAACCGTCGACTTCGAGGCTCTCATCTCAACTGCTCCAATTAATTATTTTACAAATGGTAAATAATCGCACCCGCGTGCGTGCACGGTAGTTTGAAGAAAAAGATTTCCGAACGACTTTTAGAGAAATGTAACAAGATAACTTGCGGAAATGCAAGTCGGTTTCTTCTGTATAAGTTTCGCTAAATGTCAGCTGATCTCTCGGGTGCAACAGACGTACAATATAAAAGACTAAGAATTTTAATAAGGGCACGGAAAAAAAATTAGCTGCTGTAGCTAAATAACTTAGCAAAAAATGGACAGCTAATATTTTTAGTTGTGATAGCTAAAATTTTTGCTACGACAGCAAACGGGTTTGTTGTCGTAGCAAAAATTTTAGCTATCACAACTAAAAATATTAGCTGTCCATTTTTTGCTAAGTTATTTAGCTACAGCAGCTAATTTTTTTTTTCCGTGGGCCAGTTTCACAAACGTCGATTAGCTGCTAACCGAAGGTTAATTGATTCTCTGTCTCTTCTTAGATAACAAAATAGAAAGAGATAGGAAGTTGACTGAACTCTGGTTAACAGTTAACCGACGTTTGTGAAACTGGCCCTAAGTATGTAAACGGCCTCACTGGCAATTCTTTATTATAATAAAACACAACGTTTCGGCCAGTATAATAAAGAAATGCCAGTAAGGTCGTTTACACACTTATAAAAATGCTTGATTTCTCGACTGGCGTCACTAATTGTAAGCCGCTATTTAATTAATAAAAGACTAAATCCAGGGGTTAACAATATTACGCGGAGCAAGTGTTTCTGTTACCCGAGTCGAAATTTTGGTACCATTTTGACACTTTTAAGGATAATTTACACCTACTTAGCTGATCTATACACCTACACAGACCAGCAATAACCTACTTTGATAACATAATATTTTTTTACTCCCTCCTTGGATCTTCAATTAAAAAATTTGACTTTAGCTCCTACTTAAAAGGACCTTAATGGTAAAAGGACTTTAATGCTAAATTGGCAAAAGCAGAAATTTCCGACACTATTAGTTTTTAAGTAACGAGTAAATTCTGTACTTGCAGTTCGACCTCCTTTACTGTCTTAGGTCCTACTATGTAATAGAATTAAAGGTTCAACACAGGGCCAAACTTTCGACTCGGGACACACAATAACGTTACTTTCCAGTGGAGTGGAGCGGGGCTGTTTGGTTCAGTTGGAGAAAACTTCGGCTGGCAAGTTCAATTAAAAAGAAAACATTCAAATTTCAAGACAACCAGAGGGGCGTTTCAAGACAGATAGGGACTTTTTCGTGCGTTCCGTCCTGAAGATTTCTCTGGTCCGAGTTTTTCTCAAGCCGACAACGAGCGAGATATAGTCCCGCTCTATTCTGCAGAATGCAAGTTAAAGAGGAATGTTTGCTATTAACACGGACTGACGCCTACATCTTATCGTTACCGGAGTTCTATTCGCGTCTTGATCGGTAAACTATCGAGCGTTAAACGCGAAGCAGCTATGGAAGGCGTTAAAACGCGACGGATTGTAGATTTAAAATGTGCCCGTATTACAAATTTACGACGCTGCGTTTCGCGAATGCGCGCATCAATTTGAAAGGATTTGGCACTCCCGACGAACTGTGTAGTTCGCTCGCGCGAGACTGTTTCTTTCTTCTTCTTCTTCTTTTAATTATTCTTCCTCGCGCCGGTGACTCGGTCCTCCTTTTGCCGGCGATTGAAAGTTCGCCGTGCATCGCCGAGAAACGCGCATATATATGAAATGTATTGTAATAATTCATGGAGATATGGTGAATCAGAGCACAGATTCGCACCTGGGTGGTCCGGTTTGAAGTCCCGACTCGCGGCCGCCATTCCTAAGTTTTTCTCCGCGACGTATACATCTGTACCGGGGGAGAGAAAACAAGTTTAACTTTAACGTCGGACGGCGCATTTCGCAATTTCGATACAAATAAGGGATATATAACGCGAGGCGCCCCTCTCTGCACTTTACGTCATCGGTATCTCGCGTGGTCCATTCTCGGGCGCGTGTGCATCGCTGTCGATCCTCCGCTCGAAAAAAAAAAAAACCCGTGGCCGTCTCGTAATCCGCGGAGACGGGAGGAGGAGGGAAGCGCGGGAAATATTTCGAACGCATATCTAAATCGCGCCCGCGGGCCCGAGCGTGCGGTGCGTTTCCCCGCGAGAAATATCGCGCGGCTCTCGGCCGCGCACTCACACGCTCAATTCCTCTTTCGTTTCCTAGGAAATGTGCCTTCGCTCTCTGCAGGGATTATGTACCAGGTGCCTCAGAGTGTCATTTATTCGCCCAGTCCAGGGGTCTTGCTCGGCATAGGACAAAACGGGCAACCGGTGCAAATATCTCAAGACGGAGGTAGGTTTTCCCTCGCCGCCGCCGCCACCGACGCCGCCGCCGCAGCCGCAGCCGCAGCCGCGGAGGAACGCGAGGGTTTACGCAATGTCGCCTCGCGGTGCGCGTTTCGAAATGCCCTTACGCGACGCGAGGGATTCGCGAGCGATCGTCGGTTCTTACGCCGCGGCGAGAATTGACTCGCGGAAATCGCTCGCGCCGCGTCTGAATCACCGGCGGACGACGTCGGATGACAATTGTCCGGCCGGACGCGAGATTGTGACTAATAAATTTGCATTAACGCGAACCGCTCGTTACTGTCGACGGCGTGAAAATAAATTAATGCGTTTCGCACGCGCGTTTATCATCGGGACGATGCGGGAATAATAAAGGGGTAGGAACGAGAGGTGGACGCAACGGTAAATGACGAATCGAGGAATGCGGTTAAACGGTCCCACCTTTTTGCCAAGGGCCAAGTTTTCCCCGTGCGCTTTTGGTTTCGCGGTATGCATCCTTCTTCTTCTTCTTTTTATTTCAATTTCGCGGCCCCACGCCTTAACTTTTCGCATGCTTGACTGTATAACGCTTCTCGGATAGGATAGTCAAACATTAGAGTCAACCCAGACAGCACACCATGTCTAAAAGACAGCTTTAAGACGTCTTTAAGTCTAAAAGACGTCTTAAAGACGTCTTTATGATGTCTTTTAGATATGTGTGCTGTCTGGGAATCGACGTCAGGATATACACAATATATCGTATAAGTAGCATCGTCAGTTTCGGTTCCGTCTGACGCGAGTACAGCGAGCGGATTTTTCAAAGGCATACTCGTGGACGGGTCGATGGGGGGGAAAAAAACGATCGGGGGCCGCAGAGAAGAGAAGACCGAGCAGGAAGCGTAGCGTCGTTGCTTCCTCCTCTTCGCGACGGTGTCGTCTCATTTGATTTCCCTTTGCGACTTCCTTATAGGTACAGTAGCACCGGTAGCGAACTCGTCGCAGTCGAGCCAGCCGTTCATCACGATACCGCTGAACGTCGCGATGAGCGCGGCGGGACTGTCCTTACCGGTGACCTCCAGGATGACCTCCAGGTCGCCGACGACGACGACGGCAGCGGCAGCGGCGGCGGCGGCGGCGATGTCCACTTGCGGCGACTTGCCTTCCGATCTCAGCAAAGATCGGGAATGACGCGGGATTTTTCCAACGAGCGGAGCGCCTGCGACGACGACGAAAGTAGCAGTCGAGCCTCCGCTTTCTCGCTCGCCATAGGCGGAAATTTGTCGTGCGAAATTGTCCGGACGAGGCCGCGGAAGCGAATTCTCGCGCGGATATCTCCGGACTCGCGTGATACTTCCACATCCGGGATAGCACCGGGCCGGGCGATCCAGGTTTTCGGGCGGATCATGCGAGCGACTACGACCCCATCGCAATTGTGGGATTCTTCGCCCCCCCCCCCTCTTCGTGCCGTCGTTGTCGGGGTTGAATGTTTGCGCGCTTCTGTACGAGATAAACCAGGAGAACCTAGGATCTGCTAGAAATCACGCACTTAACAGAGAGCATAGCACATGAGCGTCAAGTCATTAATAATGAGGCGAGAGTAGAGTTTTCACACTGTTAAATTTGTAGTGTTAAATTTAACTCGATGAGTAGTCGCTGCCGCTTCTATTCAACGTATCGTTAATTCAATTAAACAATGGAGTCGAAGGAATCCATAAAATGGGTTGGATAAAAGGTGCAGTTATTTTGTTAACTGCAATTTGAAACAATAAATTTTACTGCACATGATGGCCAAAAGTAACAACATATTGAGTAGGAGCAGTGGCGACTACTCATCGAGTCACCGCGAGTTTAACAGCGCGAAGATTAGAACAATCAGCTTCTTGCTCTAGAAGAATTATTTTATTTACAGAATACATCATTGGATTGTAGACTGAGCAAAGATGTTACCCTAATGACGAAACTGGATATCTCGAGGCATAAGCCATGGTAAACTCGTCAATTGCGACTATTTCTAAACGTTAATAGAACTTCGACAATGTAGTAAAGAAACTTCGAAACACCCGTAGAAAACGAAAATGGCCGAGATTTCACCTCTTCTTGGTTGATATTGTTTCAGATCTTGCTTCGTTTCAAACTTGATTTTCTCTGAGACTTCTGTAAGGGTGTTGTTTTTCTTTTACATGATATTTCACCTGTTTGTACTTTCCTGGATACATAGATCTTATATCAACAATTAACCCTTTGCGTCCCAACATAAGAAAAAAAAATGTTAAAAAGAAAATATTTATTATACCTTAATAACTATCAATTATACAAAAATAAGAAATGATAAAACTTTTTGAAATAAAAAGTGATATTGCATATTTTTAAAAGTAACAAATATTCAATTACCTTGCAACTGCGAAAAGTGTTAAAACAGCGAGGAAAAATTCAAAGAACGCGACAGCTCGTGCCCTCTTGAACACTAAAAACAGCACAGGTGTATATGATGCAAGTAAAACGGCCAGTATCGAAGTAGTTGGAAGACCTTACCAAAGTATTCGAGAAGTTTCGTACTGAAGGAGGTTTCGTTTCACGACGAAGGTGGCACGAAGTAAACGCCACAGAATCACTGGGCCGCAAAGGGTTAAGAGAGCAAGATTAAAAATATACATCCTTAAAATCCGCATAACTTCAGCATTAGACGCTCGAATCGCACGTACATCTGGCGAGTATCCAGATACGCGGCAAATGAACAGTTCGGTCAATACGCGTATTCGGATATTCTCGTCGATCATTTTGTACTGCGGAATAGACTTGAACATCTCGTGTGTGCGATATATAAATATAAAAAGATATATATATATATATATATATATATATATCGGTGATATCCCGCCACCCTCGTGCGCTCACTAGCGTAATATGCCTAATCCGAATCGCATTATAAATACCCGAACAGGCCGGAACAAAAAGATACTCTCTAGACGGACCTCAGTAGCGTGTTCCGAGAATGCTCACTGCCAATTATGAGACTGACATCGCATACAAATGCAATACCTATCCCCGTTTAGACAGTCGCGTCGAGTGTCCGATGTTGATTATATCGAATCGATCACTCGGTCGCGTAATACGGCTCGAGAATTATTTTTATTGCAGTTGATTCGCCCGTGCAGATCCCGGTCTGAAAAAGTGCGGCGCATAATTGTTAAAAATAAATTACAGCGATTACATCACGCTGCAACGATACTAAATCGGATTCTTGTTCCATATTTTTTTTATCTTCACCATGGAAACATTTCATGGCTGTCTCAATAAAGGCTCATACACTATGACAGAAATGAGGAATTAAACATATATAAGATATATTATAGGAATAGGGAATTAAGTCTCGACTAATGGAAAGCCAGGGATTGGGAATTTCTTCTTCCTTTATTGCGAACGCACGTGTGGCTTTGCATAGGTCGATATTTAATTCTCTGTTCCTGATTCCTTATATTTAATTCGCCGTGCCTAAGTCCTAATTACCGCGGCATTGTTACTTATCAGTATATTCTGAAATTCGTTGCGAAAAACGCGGAAACTCGCGCATCCTCAAATCCGCATCACATATTGCAATGAGCATAGGGAACTACCGACGTGTAGCAGCCAGCAGTTCTTCTTTAATTTGTAATCCTTGAATTATCGTCTTGGACATCAGTTTCGCCCACGTATTGCGCAGGCTGATGCGCATCAGCTTTTTTTTAGCGGCCGTCGAAGCGTTAGAATCAAGCAAAAGAGTATGTACGCGTCAACCAAAATACATGTATTCGAGTAAAAATATAGTTTGCGCTAGAATCTCTCTTTTGCTTTAGATCCAATATGTTTAAAACTCATTCTTGCACAAGGAGAATGTTCTCCTGCATTATATCGGGCGTTGAAAAATTAAATGTAAACTTCTCATGGGTTCGATAATAGCTATCCAAATGTATATTGACCGATCAGCTGGCCTAATTTATTAGGACTAAGCCTTGCGTCCACGATGATAGAAATTTGTCCGAGATCTCGATCCAGGAATTATGTAGCCAATCAACTGCAGCCTTTCCGTAAAAGATGCAAGTTGATTGGCTACGTATTTCTCGGATCGAGATCGCGGACCGATTTCTAACATTGTGGACACAAAGCTTAACACAACGTTTGGACCATTGGTCCTTTTCAAGGGAGTTCTAAGTCATGCAAAAATCCTACGACTAGTTTAACTGATACTTTGTAGGATTTGTCATATCCGTTTCTAATAAATTTCACCAGTTGTGCTCGCATAGTAATTTAGTTGGTAAATTAATTTCGATTAAATTGCCGAAAGAACTTGCCTAAAGAGATCGGCGATTCCGAAACGCTCTGTGTATTCCCGATGAAACCTTTCGGTTGATTTGCATTCTCCGTTTTACCCGTAGGAAAAGTTCGATGCGTTGAAAAAAAAAACCACGAGGTTCTCCAAAGCGGACACACATTGAATATTCACGCTATCCCAACTGCGAGTGAACTTTCTTATTGACGGGCAGCATCAACGTTTCTCAGACTGATGGACGAGTACCGTCGCGACTTTTACGTAGAAACGATAAAACTTCGCCGTTGCATCGCGATGTTGTTCCGCCAACGGCGCAGGTGCGCGACGCGGTCGCGGTAAAAAGGAGCACGCGTTCGAGATAACGCGGGCAACATTTATGAAATAATGGACGACAACTTTCCCCCCGAGTTTTTATCGGGCCACCGTTCGAACGATATCATCTCGCCGAAATGTGTGTTAACGATACTGTCGAGGGTATCGCGGATCCCCGAGTATTCTGTCAATTAGCGCCGGCATATAAATCCTGTTGTCTGTAGATTTACAAAAGTATGCGCGCGAATTGCACCATTATTTTTAACGCTCTTCGACCGACGTAAAAGAGTCACGGTGAGGAGTGTCTGAGAAGAGCCTTGCAAATGAATGCGTGCACGCAAAAGCGAATTTGACTATGAGAAACGATCTGTAACTAATATCGTACGTTGGATATCAGCGGATATTCGCTTCGTTCATCCAATTTACAAATAGGATTAGTCCATTCTTGCGCGCGTCAATTTCAATTCGTTCGAGTCTTCATGTTCCTACGCCAAAAGCCCGTAATACCGTGCCGTTATTAGCAATGTTAACTTTAGCTGTTAGCTTAATTTTTATTTAGAGTCAATTTGGATTCGACGATTCGAGCACTTGTGCCGCGATTAAGCTATTAATGACAAACGTCACACTTTGAAGTAGCGAGTGTAACTCGTATCTTTCATTTAGCCCCAGATAGCACAAAGGTGAACGTAAGTTTATAGAGAATCTATTTTAAAGAATACCTGACGAATTCTTGAAAAATAAGCCACAATCAGTTCGTCTTGAGATACTCGTCAAAAGTTCATGGTGCATGTAACTTCCCCGATCATTCTTATCGCATTCTTCTATGAATACCTGAAGATTACAATTCAGAGAGGCAGCAAACTTGAAGAATACTTTGCGAATTCACTGCGCTGTCTGGGAACGTCTCGTCCCGTCGTCGACGGTATAGCCATAGAAGGCGTCATTTAATTATATTTAATAGATTCTGCCGTGATATGTTAAATGTATGCGAAAAACGTGCGATTTTCCGGCGAATCCATTGACGACGATTCGAGTTATCTTGGAATTGAAAGCGGATCTTTACGAAGACAGTTACGTCGCAGCGACAGAACAACGGGATTTGAACGGTGATAAATTCGCGAGGACGAAAAGCGACGTTGTACGCTTTATTGTTATGAAAGATTGTAACTCGTGAATCTCTATAAGATATAACGCGACGAAAATTCTAAACTGCGTATCTTGAACCTGAATATAGCGCAATAGCGATCGTACGATGTGACGGATCACCTGCGACGATCAGAACGCAGTAAACGGCGATCGTTGTGTCTGAACTGGTTCATAATTGCGACGCAATCTTGATGAATTTGCAAATGGCGAACTTTGCAAGGCAGGAGGTTTGTTGCGACTAGCGGATATGTAAGCTAGAACGTGCAATATTGAGAGCTTCCAAGTTCGGAGGGCAATTGTTATTGTTTTAGTAGGTTTCAGCGTAGCTCGTTGTACGAACAGACACGTATGGCAGTGTGGACAGAATAAAACCAAGTACGGTATTGTTGTGTCAAATTTGTATCTTTTTAAACGAAAACGACGAGAGTCAGTTTAAATAATTATTATTATTGTACAATGTGTTGTATTGTTACCACCGAAAGCTATCGATAATAATTATCATTTAAACCGCATTTATCTCGCTTAATAATTTATTAACGATAAGTTATGAACTCTTTGAGAAAAAAAACGTGTACTTAAGTTACTCCTTGCGATACGCGGACTGTAAGATAATGAAAGACTTTTTATTTGTGCTACTCGCTTATCCGTTTGTGATGGATACTTCGCGCCCGCAGTTTTACGTGTACGCTTCAGAGACGTGTTTGGTTCTCTCTTGTTTTAATTAATATACGCCGTAGGTCGTGTACGAAACGTTTGCCTCATCTAATCGAAAACGCTTGCGTTAAGATCTGTAATTTTGCGACGGTGTATAAGTTAAGTCCTCACGATTTAGCGTGTCCTTCCGATTTATTGAAAAGCAGAAACGATAAGATTCACACGCGCAACTCTCTGAGACGAGCGTAGAAAAGAAAGCTTCGTGTTATTAGATGTTTGACGAGTTGCCGAAATTGTTGTTCACTTCATCGGACGACGTGCGATCGTGAGATCCAAATCAATTTTTCCGGGACACCGTGTACAAAGCATGTGCGAATTGCGAACGCGAGCGAAGAATCCCATGGGAGACGAGCAATAACGTGTATATTACGTTTTACTTTACCTATTTTATATATAAATATTATATATATATAGATAGAGATATATATATGTATACACTATAACTTTTTTATTACTTCTGTACTGAAATACTGCAGCGTGAAGAGTGTTTGTAACAGGATGCCGTAACGAATGCAAAAGAACAAAAAATATATAAATCTACGTGTCACCGCTCTCTCTCTCTCTCTCTCTCTCTCTCTCTCTCTCTCTCTCTCTCTCTCTCTCTCTCTCTCTCTTTCTTTCTCTACTAAGTTTAGATGTCTAGATAATAATCACGTCAATTGTGTGCTATTGCTTGTTAAGGTTGTCGCGGAGTACGAGGTGAGGAAGAAGGACGAAATACAAGTTATGTGAGATTCAATATTTGAGACCTTGGCCGAAAACGTTTCCCGATGTCTTCTATAAACCAAAGAGAAATTTTTGAAGGTAGAGCTGCTAAAAAATTATGGCGCACAACCCCGTTTTGAAAAATGGTATCAGTTTTTTATTAAAATAAATATTATCAATCTCCGAAATCATCTGATTGCTAAAATTGAATTTAACTCGGGCGAGCTTGCGAGAAACAACGAGCACAAATACCCTGGTAGCACAATGTATTGGCGCAATGTTGGGAAATAATGTAAATCTAGTATTCCAATATTGGTCCAATGTTGCAAGACGGACGTCTCCTATTTAACCAATATGTCTATTTAGCGATATTGGTTTATTGTATCAATATTAGACCAATATTCTTATTACATTTTTAAATATTGGCCAGTGCACTTTCAATATAAATCTAATATTATCTAATTATTATCGTGCAACGTTTACATTTATTCCATGGCCAATATTGGCTTTACGTTGGACAATATCGGCCAATGCATCTCTAATATGACCAACATTGGACCAATATTTAGTCAATGCACTGTGCTACTAGGGCACTCTGTTTAAAATAATAGATAGAATCCCAAGTGGAACGAGTTAATCACAAAAACGTCAATGTGACATTAAAATACTGTTTCATGACTAATATATATTCTATTTGGGGTACGATCAGATTACATGCAATTGCAATGTAATTTAATAAGACTCTTATTTATTTACATTGAAATTGCGTGTAATCCAACGTGATCTGATCATACTCTATCCAATACTTTTAAGCAGGGTACTGAACGTAGAATATCGCGGGGAATTAATTATTCAATTCTTTATTGTATCGAAATCTCATTAAGATTGATTTTAGCCGGTGCCAAGTGTCGAGAGAGATCGGTATTTCGAGAGATATCTCGCGCCCGGCGAGTTATCGCTACCTGATATCGCCGATATCAGCGATAAGGACGTTCAGGAGCAGCAACTCAAGAACGTTCAACGAATCTCCGTGTAACGCGAGCGCAATTCCGCGATCAATTGTGGCGAATTGACGGAACGTCGCCCCCGCGAAATATCGCGGCATCCCCCGCATTGCGTTTTCATCGACGAGCGACCCGCCTCGATCGATGGGGCATTCGAAAAATTGCTCCCGGGTCCTTTGGCACTTGTTGGCGCGGAAAGCCGCGCGGTGATTGGCCAGCCTGGGTGGCGAGCGCAGTAATGTGCCGTCATGGCGACGCTGCCGCCGCGGAAAAATCCGACTCCGACAAAAATTTCGAAGCAGCACTTGACGCCGCTGCAAACGCTTCTGCAGCTGGGCTTCCCGAAACACCGGGCGTACGTACGGCCCCGTCGGACGCGGCCTCGTGTTTACGTATGGCCGCCGGCTCACGTGGCGCGTCGTCCCGCGTAACGCGCGTCGCCTGGCCCCGCTGTAAACAAACAGCTGTCAAACGCGGCCTTGGCTGGGCGTCGCTTCCCGAGTTAGGGCCCCGAGCGCGGGAGATCGTCGCGACCGTTTACGACTCCGTCGTGAGAAACGCGGGCCGATTGTACGTCGCGTCGCGACGATCCTTTTGCGCGTTGACTCTCGACACCGACCCAAGTCCCGGGTGGGAATCGTAAACGGTTCGCGACAATCTCGGGCCGACTCCGTCCCGCCGATTGACGCCCGGACGAGACGGAGACTACCGCGGGCCACGTGAGCGAGGCCGTGGAACTTGGCGTCAGCCGAAGCTCCGACAGACGCTGAGTTTCGACGTATATACTTGCTGGGAAAATGTTACGATGATCCGTAGTACCCCGACGTGTCGTTGACGGAATTGTGTATTCTCAGGGAAAAGGCGCTAGCTGCAACGGGACACCGTGGCGTGCAATTAGCGTCGGACTGGCTGCTGGCACACGTGAGAGATCCGACTCTGGACTCTGACACGCAGCGGCAGTATGTTCTATACGCCTGCCCTACCGGGCCGCTGGCTGAGCAGCTCGAGCTGTTCTGGTCGGAGAGCAAAGACCTAGGATGGAACGGCGCTCGTAACTTTATACCGCATATTACCCTCGTCTCCTTCTTCGACGTAAGATATCTAATTTCATGTACATCTGGCAATGCGCGTAAGAGTTTACACCTGTCCTGGAGAATTGTGAACTTGGCGTTCGAGCGTACACTCTGTCGTTCTCCAATACTTTTTGTAGGCCCCCGACGAGTTTACGAAAGAGTTAGCGAGCGCTCTCGAGAACGTGGTCCGCCAGGATGGACTGCGCGAACACGTCGAGCTGGAGACGTACGTGTCGACCAACTTCATGGGCCTCTTCGTCAAAGACGTGAACGCGGAGTGGCTGAAGAACATCGCTCTTCGCTACGTCAGTAAAATCGCCGCTCTAGGTATCACTGCCGAACCGCAGGTAAAGTCCCTGCACCTCACCCTGGCCTACCAGTTCCCCAGTAGCTTGTTCCCGCCGCTCCGCTCGATGGTCGAGAAGCTGGGACCGAACACGCCGGCCAACTGGGAGCTCAGATTATACTCGAGGGACTCGAGATTGCAGAACTTGCACGTGCACAAAGTGACGCACGCCCACGTGCCGCGGGAACACGACGAGTTAGAGTTAAGAGTAGGCGATTACATTTACGTTCCAGAGGGAGCGTGTAAATCGTCCACGGACGGTTGGGTGGAGGGTGTCTCCTGGCTGACCGGTATATCTGGCCACCTGCCGTTGAATCACACCAAGAGGACTGCGGAATCGGACTCGTGGACGCTGCATGCCACCGTGCCGATCACCGACAATAAGTACGAGAGCGCGGACGAGGAGGAGATACCGAAGATCAGGAGGCCACCGCCGGTTTTGTCCCCGAGCGAGTCCGCCGATACGCCCGACGGGATTCCCACCGCGGAGGAGCCGGTAAAACTTTTTTCAAGAAAATTGTATATACCGCGCGCGGAGAACTCGCAGGCGGACGTGGCGTAATCTGGTTTGCTTTGGAACAGATGGCGGCGTCCGAAGCGCCCGAGACACCGTCCAGGGAGATCTTCATATGCCGACACGGCGAGAGGGTGGACTTCACCTTCGGCGCGTGGATCCCGTATTGCTTCGAGTCCAACGGCTGTTACGTACGCCGCGACTTGAACATGCCCAAAGACGTACCATCCAGGAATATCCAGGACTTCCAAAACGACAGCCCGCTGACGACTGTGGGCGGGATGCAGGCGAGTCTGGTAGGCGAAGCCATGAAATCGTCCAGTATTAAGATAGACGTGGCCTTCACGTCGCCGTCGTTACGTTGCGTTCAAACGCTCGCCCACATCCTGAAGGGACTCGAGTCCGATATCCCGATCAAGGTGGAGCCGGGTCTGATAGAATGGCTGGCGTGGTACCCGAACGGCATACCCGTCTGGATGACCTCCGACGAGCTGGTGAAGGCGGGCTTCAACGTCGACTGCGATTACGATCCGATCGTCAAGGCTAAAGAACTCCCGCTCAAGGAGAACGCCGCGCAGTATTACGAACGCAGCTACGAGCTGATCAAGAAGATCATAGAAAGCACAGTTGGTAATATTTTGATAGTGGCGCACGCCGCCTCCCTGGCCGCTTGCACCAGACAGTTGACCGGTGGTAGAATACCCCCGGCGGCTGAAGTCACTAGATTAGTTCAAAGAGTACCTTATCTGGCGTGCTTGACGGCGCGTCAAGATATTGACGGCTGGCAGCTCCATCCTCCTCCCTTCCCACCGATCACCCACACCAGTAATAGCAGATTCGACTGGAAAGTTTTAATGTAATAACGTTGATAATGCACGAGCTTTTGTTGAGAAAGACACACCTTACAGAGCCTATATAAATACATAAGACTGTTACGATACAATGAATTTTTATGCAGGGCTTAATCTAATGTCGATGACATTCTCTCGAAACGATATCCAACGAATTGCGGAAAAGTTCTTTTCGGAAAGGACGTATCATTGGTGGACGATCATATAAGTACGATTAAAAAAAAAGCTAGTCGATCGCACGACAGTTGAACATTTACTTCCTCGGATTATGATTAATACGGGTATCGAGGTATATAGTTTCTTTAATTACGGATATAGAACAAATACTAGCCAATATGTTGTTATAGGTATCGTGCTATACCAATCCGCTAAAATATCTAATATATAAGCGAGATACTAGTCTTGATTGGACGCATTTTCTTGCCGAGTGTCGGACGAAGCATTGAACAAAGAATTTTTAAAATATGGTATTTATATATATATAATATTTTAAAGTAATATACTATTTTATGACTGTAGTATCCTTATGTCTGTCACGCACACAAAATATCTTCTCTCTTTGACATATTAAAAAGTTAAATATTGTTAAAGTAGAAGCGTACAGGGAAATCAGTAAGGTGCTCTTGCGCACATTCGCGGTCTCTGTAGAAAAAAAATGTCCCATGCGAGCTTTACCGTTTCTCGGAAAACTTAGGATTATGACACGTGTCAATTAAGTGTGACGTTGAATCTAACTTAATGAACTCTGCGTCGCATCGCGACAAACCGATCGCGCAGAACGGGAATATATTTATAGTATCGCTATCGATGTTACCTTTTACAGAAGAAAAATAACGTTTATATGTATATATATTTAAATACGACACCATTTCAGAAATATGTCCAATGTTGTACCACTTTCAAGATAGATTGAACATTCGTTTTGTCTAATTGTGGGTAAGAGATGCAAGACATATTTTACGTATATGTATATACATACATATGTATATACACATCCGTACGTGTATATATACGTATGTATATATGTATAAAAGAATTCGTGTAGACAGTATTTTATTAAATATATATTCCTAATTGTATTTAAATTTCTTCTCTCCTTATAAGCGCGCACGCGCACCGCGGTACAAATTTATATCGAAATATATATCGTATACAATTTCTGATGATGTACAAAAGCATTATACTATATACAAAACGAGTTATCAAAATATAAGAAGAGTTAAAAAGATAACTTTCGTCCTTTTTACAATGGTTCCACTACTTGACTAAACGTGACCGCTTTCTTTCAATTTAGCTATCAGAGTGTCCACGTCCGGTAATATAGCACCGGCCTGCCTGACTGGCGGATCCTCTACCGTGAGTATCTCGATTCTCGGCGCCACGTCTACTCCAAGGTCCTTCGGAGTGATCTTCTTGATCGGTTTCTTCTTGGCCTTCATAATATTCGGCAGTGTCGCGTAACGCGGTTCATTTAGGCGAAGATCGGCGCTCAGGACCGCAGGGGTCTTCATCTTGACCACTTCCAGCCCACCGTCAATCTCGCGCGTAACAGTCAGCTCGCCGTTGTTGTTCTCGATCTGAATTAAGGGGAGAGTTAATAATCGTCGCGACGTGGCCGGGTTTCATCTACTTCTTACTTTGCTGCAGAAAGTGCCGGACGGCCAATCCAGGACGCCAGCGGTCATCTGCGCGGTTTGATTGTTATCGTCGTCTATGGCCTGTTTACCAAGTATCACCAGATCCACCTTCTCCTCCTGCGCCAGCTTGGCCAGTATCTTGGAGATGTGAACGGGCTGCAACGTCTGGTACTCGGGACCCGATATCTCCACGTGAATTCCACGATCTGCGCCCATCGCGAGCGCAGTCCTGATTGTGTCCTGCGACTGCGCCGGCCCGCAGCTGACCGCTATTATTTCCTGGGCTAATTTCTTCTCCTTCATTCTGACCGCCTCCTCGATGGCTATCTCGTCGAAGGGGTTCATCGAATGCTTAATGCCATCTGTGACCACCCCGGACTTGTCCGGCTTGACGCGAATCTGCGGAAACGCGCAGAAATACAGTGTTTTTTAACTTGCCGATGTCGCTGGTCAGCATCTTACTTTATTAATGATTGCTACAGCTGTTAGTGTACTGTTAAAAAAATGTACAATCAGACTTCACAGCAACGTTCTGATCTCTCTTAACAATATAAATGTAGTGGAGTTATTCTACCTTCACTGCATAATCGATTACTCTCTTCACACCTACGAGCACACGCGCCATTCTTTACGCAACGAAAACGGCTAACGCTATGCAACTATTTCCGCTTAATTCGTTTTAATCGATGCCAATGATAAATTCGTAACAGTCCTTCAAACGTGGCTCAAAGTCTAAAGTCTAATCGGAACCGAGGGAGGACTGAGAATGGTCACATTGACGACCTGGTGATTTTTGATAGGGAAAATCTGAAACTAACAAGCTTCAGGGACAAATTGCGCTCGGTAATGGTTCGAGTCCGCGCTATGGTTCGTGTCCGAACTACTCGCAATCTAAACGCTGCAGGGGCCCGTATTCTGAATCCACTTTTATCGATAAGAAAATGCCTCTAAAAGTGGCTGATAAGCCTACTGATTAACTATAAGTTTGCCGCGTGTTGCTTTCCTTTTACACTCAAGTGATACTGAGTCACTCATTTATGTGAGTATTTTATACTCAGATATATGACGTCATTAATGTGAGTCTATTAAAATTACTAAAACACGCGGTCTTGATCGTGTGTAAAAACTCATTTAAATCTGGTTGAATCTCACTTCTCAAGAATCAAAAGGAACATGCATTCAACTGGGCTATGACGTCACAAGTGAGATTTATCTGAGTTTTCATGTAAAAGGAAAGCAACTAACATTTAACAAAGTATCTCTGAAACTAGCAATGGACGCGGTATGTCAGAAATATTTAAAATATATAAAATATATAAAATATAATAACAGCATAAAATGAAATGAAATCTTATATAATACGTTATAAATATGTAACTTTACGTTTGAATATAAAGTTGTTAATTGAACATCACAGAGGCCATAACTTATAGTCGAATTTTTCGTCACAAAAGATGGAAAGAACCTGCGTGAAACGGAGCCAACAATAGACTGAAAAATATTAATATTTATATAATAAAAATATTATATTTAAAAAATTTTTTTATCTCCAATCAGACGGATTTATATCATATCGTTAATTATCTGTCGGAAAGGGCTGTGTTGTTGAGTGATAATATCAGGATAAATATTAAAATTTATTGTCGCCATTAGACTACAAGGCAGAATATGGGGAAAGCGGGATTAGCAGATTTGTTGAATAAAAATGTGTTATACATCGAGATAGTAAAGTATAGTATTTACAAAATTAAATCAGCCTTCAAGCTGACTTAATTTTTGGGATATCCACGTGCTTTTGCCTCTTTAAACATTGCCACGAGAGAGTCCAGGGTCTCCTCTCCTGTCGGGATGATCTGCTCAGGCGGCAATATGAAGCCGTTTCTACCTTGATCGCGCAACTCGTAGGTGTAGGCAATACTTTTACCATAAGTGCCTTTGATATAATCCACAGTGCTTCCGGTAGCTATGTCTGAAAGTGATTCGATAAGAACGTTAATATATGAAAAGATCACGGTTTTTTACGTAAGATTACTTCAATCTTAAAGTGCGAAAAAATTAATTAGATTACATTTCAGTTAGAAGTAATAGAAACAAAAAGAGTTAAATCAATTTCGGATACATTACAAAGTACTCAAGCGGGTGAAAAGTGACGAGGAAGTAAAGCGAATTAAAATTTCTCTACTTACAGATCGTCTCAGCAATATTTCCGGTCACGTACTTAGTTCCGTATCTCTTTTCGAGAGCTGTGATCGCTTTCATGCCAATGGCGTACTAGAAACATGAAGATTATATTAATTATTACGTTACAGACCGACGTTAAAACAACAAAATAATGGTTAGCTTGATCGCTTAAAAATCTTGGACATTTTAAGAATCAGATTGACACAATTAATTCAGCACGAGAGTAACGATAAGAAGAATACAACTGAAGAGAAAAATGCTCCAACTAGTTTAGGAAATATTTCTTTTTGTGAATGAATTTCCATGTCGCTTTAGAATGTTAAAGTTCTTTACCAAGTCGTCGTAGTTTTCAAGATGATCTCTCGTGTGACCATACGGGAACAGCAGTAATTGCGAGTAACTATGGAACGATATGTACGCGTAGAATTTATCGGAGATGGTCTTGATGTAATCGGACGCGCTCTTCGTCTCTACGTCGGAGAATGGCGCAGTTCCGGCGTAGGTCTCGGAGCACGGGTTGCTGCTGGCCCCTCCAGCTGAAAAAAATCAAATTGCAATAACGTTAGTAAATATTTTTACGTTAAGAGTTCTACGAAATCTTTGGAGCAATCTGGACCTTCGATAACATTATATTTTATTCTTGACTCCCAATGAGAAATGATTCGTCGAAGCGATGTCAAATCGACATTGACACCGTCGAATTTACGTCAATTCGATATCGTTTCAACATAGATTGACGAATCATCTTTCACTGGGTGGACTGTTAAGCAAGAGAGATAGAGACTCTCGCTAAAATCCGAGGGGGGTACTTACTGTTCCATCTGTAGTCCCAGTTCCTGTTGGGATCGCTGCCGCTGCAGAAGAGGCTGTACGGCTTACGTGTCTTTCTCCACAATCGATCCTGAAAAATGATTGTAAAAATGTGTGCAAATGAAACTGACCTTTAAACTAATGCATCGCGTTCTGCGTAACGTTACTCTCTGAAAGTCAATCAAGTGGATCATCACTGAAAACAGTTATAAGTGTAGCACTGAAAATAATTCACTTCATGCTACACTTATAAATGTGAATCGGGGAATATTCGCTGTTTTCAGCGGTAAACCACTGATTGGCTTTTAGAGAGTACGAAACGGAGCTTACCGTAGTATGCGTGTACACGTATCCGTCGGGATTGAACGAGGGGAAGATGTACCAATCGTGGCTATCAGCCAGATTCCTGACGTCCGAGTCCTCGCTGGTCAACAGTTGATGGAGGATGTACATGACGGTCGCCGGGGAGATCCATTCCCTGGCGTGGATGCCACCTTCGATGAAGATTCCAGGGTTATTGGCCTTGAAGGAGACCTTGACGCCTTTGATCTGGCGACCCTCGTACGATTTGCCGCCCACGACGACCTGCACCTTGTCGGGATACTGTTTAGCCAGGTCGTCCAGATTCTTGTAGATCTCCTCGAGAGTGTGATAACTGGTAAAATCGAACGACTTTGACCGACTATGCGGAGTCGTTGCGTCAATCAGCTCCTGGACATCCTTGATGTGCATCTGATAGGGTATACCGATCTGGCCCATCTTCTCATAGAATTCGGGCAACTTGTGCGGGGCGACCATGAGGTCCACGTGTTTGTTCACGGTACTCGGTGAATCCCAGAAGGAGAACTGAAAGGAATGGTCAGTCTCGCATATTAGAGTTAAAATTCAATCTTGAAGTTAACTTTCTATTGCGATTCGTTTGCTAAATAACTTTACATTTTTGTAGAATTTCTAAAATTGGAAAATTTTCTAATCCGATCTTACTTTCTGTAGGTCTCGTGAGATGGATTTCGCGTGAGTTTCAAGTAATGCAGCGAGTGTAAATATTCTTAAATTCCAAATCTTATTCGACCACATCAGCTGGCCACGCTCGTTAGTTTCTCTGTCAATGCAGAAAATTTATTGCGAAAAATAGTACCTCAGCCAGGATTTGAACCTGGACCTCCCTACACTCTAGGCGGTCGTTTCATCTCTCATTTATACGCCTCGGTGGTCGAATAAAATTTGGAATTTCAGTATTACAGTGGCAATTAGAAATTAATTTTTAAACATTCTTAATTCGCACTTGTACTTGTAAAGCGTATCTGTGATTTAATAGGAATTCACTCACTCCGTCATAACCGTTTTCCAACTCCTGTAGAATTTCGAGTTGCGTTTCCGTAGTCGGAATCATCCGGAAGACCTTGTAATTGTTGTAGACAGCCTTCTGGGCGGCCGCCAGGCCCACGAACGCGCACAGCACTATTATCTTCCACATGATGCCTCTGCAGAAAACCCCACATTTCTCATTAATACATGAAATCAGATCTCATTCGAACGATTAAATGCTTTTTTTAAAATTACAATTGGACAACACAAATAATTTTGAAAGAAGTGATTGGAATTGCCATCGACCGGATGTTCAATTTAGGGATTGTTCTCTCGAAGACAACGACTTACCCCTTGCGAGACAGGAACGCTTGTGATTGTGATTGCAGCTACTGTTTCGTTCATTGTATTTAAACACTGGATGCACACGGCACCAACAATCGACATATATCCACATAGGACATTTTATTAAGAAAAATCACCGTCGATCAATCACGCAAAGATCATGCTGGGTTTTACCGTCTATCGGATTAGCTCGAAAAGAATCGCGTTATCAGGATTGATCTTGCATTCAATAGTATCAAGACGACGTGTCACAATTAGTCGTACAGCAGCTTTATCGGATGTTTAAATAGAATGTATATACGTGTAAACAATAGTGTAAACGAATACTCTTCTACAACCTAGGGCTAGAAATGGATCTGGATTTTTGCGTGTTTATACATTATTATAAAATTATAAAATTGTAAAAAAGTTTTATAGCAAATAAAAAAATTCGTTATAGGCACATTATTATAAAAATATACTTACATATTCAGAAATTTAATTGAAATTAATGTAGAAAATGTTAACTGTTCGTGTTCAAAATGTTTTGCTGGCATATTGCGAAATATTTAATTTCACAAGAGTAATGTCGACTAAAAAAAAAAATAACGCAAGTACAAAGAAAATTAATAACATGAAAGAAACAGTGAAAGTTGCTTTTAGTGTCGATCCGATTGTGTACAGTGTAAAATGCTCGCAATACGCATGAAACAGATGCAATGAAATCGATGTACCGCATAATCGCCGAATCAATTCTTTTGTTAGTTGCGTGACCGTGTAAAGTAACACGATTTTATTCCCCGATAAACAACTTTACTCCGTATTGTCCTATGAGTGACACGTCTTCTCTCCATAAATAAATAGCGCGGATGAGACCGCAAATGAATTTACATTTATCTTTTTGGTCGTTTATCTACAATAATTTCTATTATTTCGGTCAATCATGCCCCGCATATATCGTTTTTCATTTGTACGGTTATCGTAAGTGTATTTGTATTCTTATCGGACATGGACTGTGACTTCTCCAGTGTCGTATAGTAAATTCTTCTTTGTCGGTTAGTCGATTGTTGCGTGATTAACATCATTTTTAATTGCGTTACGGACACTCAACGAAGGCTGATCTCTAGGCAAGTAATTAAAGCCCGATAAGATAGTCTCATCACCTAATTATAGATTAAGATATTGCTCTTTCTTATCCGGATACAAGACTGCCGCATACTTTGTCTCGCGTGAGCGGTGTATCGGTCGCAAGATCTTCCGCGTGATTTATTGGTTTACTCTCCTTTTGTTCGCAGATACTCTTTGTACAAACAAATAACATGTATTTATCGTCTTATAAGCGCGAATCATTGATCGATCACTCGCTTGCGGGAAATAGATAAAGTAAAAAAGAAGGACGGACATTTTTTCTTCAATCCCTCGAGAAATCAACTCAGTTCAGAAAAGAAAGTTCTGCGGCAAGTTTGTGGAAAAATGTCAGTTTGTGTCTTTACCTTCTTGCTCGATGGGTGCCGTCTGTATCAGCCTCCCGAGTTACGTGGAATGTGCTCTCCGACGATTCACCTCTCGGCTCTTATATACGCACCGTGTTTTTTCGAGCATTATAGTACGGGGTAACGGGATATGGGTGCTTAATTTGCATATTTCTAGACGCGAGTCCTAGTATCCCAGATTCATCGTTTGCCTTGATAACATGCGGGCCTTTATCAGCACCGCGGATGCAGTATTTAGCAGAAACTGAGATGAAGTAGTCAGCAGCTCGGCCTGATTTCTCACTGCTCGAAATAATCCGTACGCCTCACATTGTTGCGAGATGTTTATTAACAATGTTTTACAAGATCCTATTCGTGTCGCACGCACAAATATATATTTCGTAGTAGTAACTAATAAATTTACATACTTATTCATATCGTTCGTACCCGATCTAGCATTATATACATAACATTGTTTAAATCATCCGTAGAGTCACGGTTCGAAGAAGGAAAGTCTTGTAATTGTTAACGCTATATTCTCTGAGAGGTGTTATTACGCTCGCGCAATACGCTACACCAGCTTAATCTACGTCCTCGAAATTACGTTTGAAAACACTGCAGTCGTAGAAAACGCACACAGCATTCGCAAGTGACTCGTCATCCCGTTTGCAACATTCTTCTCCCAGCACATATCATACAGTATAAACTTACAAATTAATATATTTATCGCTCCGAGGTATCTGCGTGATCAAGAAAATCTTTTTAATCAAGATTAGGAAACCAATCTTAAGATAATTTATGTAAAAAAGTACATTACTTTTATAATATAATATACATTATATATTATAATTTAACTTTATATATTAAATATATTAAATATAATTTTTTAAATAACTATCCATCCTCGTTAATATTCATAAATTTAAACCGTCATTTTTTAATCTCTAGTAAGTTTAATTTGCAATGGAATGAAAGGAAATGAATAAATATTTTGCCGTCAATATTAATTCCTCTTTTTCATATTGTAATGTGCTATACGAAAGAAAGGAAACACAATATTATCAAAATATGATTAAAATAGATACCTCAGAATGCGTGAGATCTGTACCCACAATTTACTCGATAAAGCAATAATTTGGATCTGTACAAATTTAATTAGCTCATAGAAAATGTAATTAAACAGTAGCCGACTGGTTAGCTGACCATACATTTTTGCGGTATAAAATAGTTCTTTTCGGGAGATAGAATTTTCATTTCGTTTAGTCCTTTCTTGTAGTCGTTCAGAATAACCGGCTCCTTATACATAGACGTAAAATTATAATTTATACACTACATGCGTATCTTGTGTACGCGTACACTAACAGATGTAATTGTCTAGCGGCTAAATCAAAATTTCATGTTACATCACAGTCTGCAATTTGTTACGTGCCTCATACAGTCGATTGGAAGTAGATACCTGCCTTTCCTAGATCACCTTCACAGTTATGTTCAATGTAGGTATAATTCATTCTTTTCTCGAGAAAATTCTTTAATAAAATAAAGAAAAATGACGTAAAATGTGCGGAAAATAAAATGTTCAATATTAAAAATCTCTAAAAAAAAAGAATTTACATTATATCCCTAATGTATATCATTATATCATTGATATAGATACGGAGAATACAAAAGATTATATATATTTTTTACATATTTCAGAATGTGATCCAGGATATATCGTTCGACATTCGGAGCTATAATGTAACAAAAAAATGCTATTTCAAATTGAAATGCTGATATTGTCTGTAGTATAACCAACGTGAAATGATACAATACATTCCGTCATATAAAGACTAATGTTACAAACAATCGCAATCCAATTATTTGGATGCAATACTTTATTATAAAACGAATGGTAACCCGTAGTTTCAAGATTTGTTAAAACATTCTATTTTTTTTTAAATATCGATCGTAAACCCTGTGACAATTTCTTCGCTGAACATGTAGCAGATAATTTGATGTTCTACGCTTGTGCCAAAAATATGTTGACGCGAAACAAAATCCTTAATTATCAAATCTGTAGAATTGATTTGATATGTAATGTAATCACGGCACAAGGAAGAGATTATCAATATTATCTTTGGCCAATATGTGTAGTGTTTTTACCCGTCTAATAACTAGTCGCTTCTCATGTTTATAGAGAATATTCCTTCAATATTTGTCCCGGCTTCGAATACAGATCTAACTTTCCTATCAAAGCATCCTTGGCAATACGCGGACAGAAAATTTTTCCGAGTTTCCTGAAAGAGGAAGAACTATATTCAACATCGTAAGAAAAGAACTGGCGAGTGTGTCATCACAATAAATTACTCACCCAATCGTTTTCTGATCCGCATCGATCGCGTTCTGCTATAAATTAGTGATCTCCATCCCGTGAGGCAGTCTGTGGCCTTGAGCGTGACTCATAGTAAGTTGCCTCGTAGCCATCCCGCCACCACACTGGCTGCTCCAATCGGCGGTGGGTACCGGTGTGCGATAAAACTTTGACGAGGTCTTGTTAAATATCGGCAATAGCTCGTTTGCCTCGGTAGACAATGCCTGAGGATGTAAGCTTTCAGTTAGTATATTGCTGATAAATAAAAGCGCAGAACGAAATTACGACGCGTAATATTTCTCACATCAGGTGTATCGGGAGAAATGTTCAACAAATTTAAATTTATTAACAATTTAAAAATATTTATTACCTTTAGATAAATAATCGCGTCTGTTCCGTAACCCTCACAGCTGAGCAGTACGATGTCGCCGTGCAGATACCTGGCGTACAATCGAGACAATGGCAGACCGTAGCCGTATCCTGCAAGCGGTACCGTATGAGCATCTGATTTGCTCGGCTGTGGAGCGGTGCTGTACATGTACTTAAATAAATGGTCCGTTTGTGAACGAGGAATGCCGCCACCTCTATCAGATATCTAAAAAAACAGATGGTGGTAAAATGGCAATAATTATTCGCTGCCATCTAATCACGCATCCTAAGAATTGAACGGCCGACGCGAATCGATTCGTCCTACCTTCAAGCAAATATCCTCTTTACCGCGCACTAGCAAAACCTCAAGCGGCGGATAATTGTCCGAGTCGGTTCCGTGGTGTTCCATCACGGCTCTCATGCCGTTTTTGAACAGCTCGAATAGCATGTGGTACAAATGGCTCGGCACATAAATAATCCTAATCTCACTACTACCATCGAGTTCTGGAAAAATTAACCGTGTGCAACAATTATAAACTTAGCCGCTATTATTTTTTTACAGCTCTTAACTAATATTCCTATCCAACAATCAAAAATGTAAACGGTAGTCATACATACATAATCGTAATATTTTATTTGTACAATATGTATGTATATATATTGTATACAAAAATAATGATAGCAATGATTGGAACTGTACTTGGTCTACCTCTATAGAAAATTATTTGTCTCAAATTACTTACTATAACACTAATATAATCAACTTTGTTCAAACTTGCCGTTATGCTGTTTGACTCTCAATTCCGGACTAGCCAGATAATATTGATCGCACAAAAACCGTGCGTTCTCATAAGCGTCTTTAATGACGCCGATCACGTCACAGGACGGATCTATACATCCTACGTGTCTACTGTGCCCGTTCAATTGCCCACCAAAAAGGAGCGCTGAAACACGAAGAAAAGAAACGCGTCAATAAAGCGCAATAATATGCGATACCACTCGTACTAAAGCTCACTCATGAAAACGTTCATTGAAACTTACTGTGTTGGTTGATCAGCATACGAATGGAAATGCGGGACATGAAGAATCTGTCCAGGAAATACTGAATGCTGTTCTCAGTCTGATTGTCCACATCGTGGGACTCCTTCAGTTCCAGAACGCCCTGTGCCATTGTCTGGACGACGTCGGTATGCCTGTTCCGTATCTTTATTAGGGCTTGGCAGAATCTATAAGAGATTAGAGATTTTCGTACAGCAATTCGTGCTGCGAACGATCTTATTGTTAGTGAATATCGTAAGCCCAAAAGAGTTACTTGATCCACAAGTGTTTAATGTACTCACCTGTCTAAAGTAGTCTCGTTGACATCGACTTTTTCGAAGTGTATTATTTCCTCGAAGGATGTGGCGTACAAATTATTCACAATACCCACACTAGGCATCTTCAGTAAGTTTTCCGGCAGTAAGTGGATCTCCTTCATAATGTTGGCGAGCCGTACTGGCAGTTCTTTCCTCAAGAATATGAAGGACTTCCTCTCACAGGCGCTTAGACCTGAAAAATATACGCGATATCAGCGACATTGCAAATTTTCATCATAAATATAGTACAGCTGTCATCAATTTTTTAACCAACCGTAAATCGGTATCAGAATATCGAAGGAATAATAAAAATTTGTTCTTTTGCAGAAATTGAAAGTAAAAGGTAGATAGACATCTTAATTTGCGGGAATTTATGATGTTAAATTAAAATTTTAATAATCATTTTACTCAATAGAGATTTCCATTTATTTCCGATCATTTATTCTTCCTTTGTCGATTAATGAAATTTTGAATAACGTGTTGGCATTAAACAATTATCAAGATAATGATGACTCCAAGCGCAAACTTCGTCTCATATTTTTCGCTTGCCAGACGCCAAAATACATATTTGTTGCGGAAATTAGAAGTGTCTCTCGAAAAAGTGACAGATTACTGCCGCATTATTGTGACAATTTGTAGAATTGATAGGAAAGCAAGCCGCAAGTGAGAGTCTTCATGAATGGCTCATGTTAAAAAGGCTGCTGCCATTGATAGTATAGCGTTTGTATAATTTATTTCGGACAGAAATTATCTTATCATGTTCAGTATGTAATTCACCAAAAATACGTCAGTAATAATGTAAGTTTTTGCTACACGCAAGCAATGAGACAATCCTGAATTGATGAGCCTTTATCAAAACTGATATTCAAATATTCTGTACAAATTTATTTTCTGCAGCTAAAATATCAACAGAGAGAGAGAGAGAGAGAGAGAGAGAGAGAGAGAGAGAGAGCGAGATTTAAAATTACAAATATTTGCATTTCATGATTGGGCTAGAACAGTTGGAAATATATTCATCTATTTATTATTTGATTAATTGATAAGAGACATTCATCACAGATTGAGGAATTAACAATCTGTACATATCATCGTTAAGCTTCTAATTTGTACATTGGACTCTCTTCCACTACAATTTAATTATATATTTTTTCAATGTTACCGAAGGATGATTCATGAAAAATTAATGGAAGTTTTTTGCGATAGTATGATATATGCACAAACAAGTTCCAACGTGTCAGAAACGAGTTTAATACTGCGTATTAATAATGATCAAGTTAAGTTTACGTTAAAAATTTTATTTCGGCGGATCTCTCGTGTCCGCAAAGATTGACGGTTCTATAAAATCTACAGAAGGAGTATTAAAAACGGAGTTCATACAAAAGCCGCATTACGCATTAACTCGTCGTCTATAGAAGAATATCGAAAAATCGATACAAACCGAATAACTTCCAGTGATCATACATTGACCTATTTAATGACGTGTCGCCATCACTATTGACAAACACAAACTATAGCTACGGTTACGTATGCTCTTATAACACACTTTCACTAAAGGTACCGCTCAATTACGAGCCATTAGAACAATCAGCAAGTTCCCACTTTCATTTTGTTTCTCAATTTTCTTCTCTTCATTTCAAGTTGATACTTTCCTTTGCGTATAGCTTCTTTATTAAAAGTTTACACATTCTCAGACTGTATCCCGAGTCGCAATTTTGGTACTACTTTGACACTTTTCAGGATAATTTACACCTACTTAGCTGATCCATACACCTACGTGGGCCAGCAAAAATCTACTTTGATGACATTATACTTTTTTTACTCCACCCTTGAATCCTTAATTCCAAAAATTTACTTTAGCTCCTACTTCAAAGGACCCACTTTAATGCTAAATTGGCAAGAGTAGAAATTTCCGAGGCAATCAGTTTTAAAGTAGGAGTAAATTTTGTGCTCGCATTCCGACCTCTTTTACTGTCTTAGGTCCTGTATAATAGATTTGAAGGTTCAACATAGGGCCAAAATTTCGACTCGGGATTTCTCTAATACAAAACGAATTTTACACAAATTTAAACTCGCGAAAAGTAGCTGTTACGGGAGATCGTGAGGGAAACATCGGTCAGTCGTCCATGAAATATTTGGTATCGGCACGCTCGAGTGTACATCGATAAATCGATCCCTCATCTCCCTCTCGTCGGAGTGAAAATTCAATTATTTATATAGACATGCTTGAGACATGTCCCCGGGTTGCGTACGGCGGCGTGCTCTGAAAATAAACCTCGGCCTGGTCAGCGTGCAACGCCAGAGGATTGTCACTTGAGATCGCGAGTCTAAAAAATTGCGACTTTGTCTAAAACCCACCGCGACACCCGAACGTTATGACGATCTGTCGGAACACGTGAATATACTCCGTAATCGTTAATAAAACATCTGTTTTCGCCGAACGCCAAACAAAAATTTTTAATCGCGTCTTGGAACTTAAACGAGTCGAAGTGAAAGAACCAAAGTACATCAATGGACAGGAAAAACGCGAAACAATTTCTACTGATTCTCTGCACACATCTGAGTAAACTGAGATTCAACAACTTATTTGTTAATATATTATTTCCGATACCTGATAATTATTTATTGTTATGCGCAACAGGAGTTCCTTGTAATTTTTCTTAAAAGTGTTGTGCTCAATGAGCGCATTCGCTGATTCTCTCTTGGGGGGGGGGGGGGGAACAGATAACGATTGTTTATCAGTAAAGTGTAATCAATGGAAAGCTAGGAGACATGGAACAGCAGACGATAACTGTACGAGTTTCTGTACATTTTTAATCAGCCTTAATGAAGACGTAGGTTGCGTCATCCGCCTCAATAGCGCATTCGCTTGTTCCCATCATACAATTGAATCGGATTAACGTGGACGATACTTTTGTTTCACGGTTAATTTCAAACGAAGGCCACTTGAATAGAGAAAACACGTGACGTTACAAGTGATAATACAATCCGTATAATTGCTGCGCGTTTCAGAGAATCGTGCAATTTTTGCGGGCTGTCGAGAGCGGCGCGAGTACTCGTGAATATCGAAAATGAAATTAGATCTTCATGAATTTTCCACAGAGAATCGCGGCTGGCTCTTACGATTCGATTCTAGAAGCGATCAGCCGAGAAATTGCCGGGAAATTGAATGCCCTTGTCTGTCAGGCGCAGATCAGTCTCGAGCCAGCTCGTTGCTCTTATATTAAATTCCATTCGACCAAGCGAAAATGGATAAGCGGAAAATCCCGTGACACCTGCCCGCTGCTCATCGCGAGCGCCGGCCCTGACATCCACCATCCAGCGGACATTGTCGAGCGTTGATTGCACCGGGACTTTGCCAGCGTCTGTGCAGTTTAATTAATTAAAAATCCCCGATGTCAAACTTTTCCCATTTAAATGAATGACCTCGGTGCTATAAATCTCGACAGTTTCACAAATATACAAAGCAACTGTGCAAATTTTCTAATGCATTTCATAAATTCCAGAATATATTCATGCGACTTCAATTGCTTTGAAGTGAGATAGTCACATTGGAAATAGCGTTATTATCGATTCCGCTAAAAACTTACGTTAATTTACATTGATTGAGGATACAAGTGAGCGATAATGTGTTCAATTTTCGGAGTAACTAGGATCTAGAAACAACTGGCCCGACCTTCCGAAGAATTATCGAAGTCGTGCAGAATCCAGCGGGCGTCGTTAGACACGCTGGAAGTGATACGAAAGGACATTAACTCTCGGAAATTAGCATAACTTCGGCGCACCCTATCTTGTCTCGCGCAAACAAACGTACGAGTATGACATCGTTGATATCGTAGATCTTGCTTTGTAAAATAATATTATCAATAACACGACGCGCGTGTCCTTTCCTAATCGTCGCAGGATAATCCGAAGGGCGAAATAAATGTCTCGTCGTCCTTTATTCTGAGTCACTGACGCGCAGTGTGCCGGACAGAACAAGCAGATAAGAATATCGTTTATGTTCAAATAAAGATAGCGATCGTTGATTATGCGCACTCACAGTGCATAATTGTTCGTCCCCGTTTGACTTTAGCCGACGAAGAATTTCTCGACAATGAGTAGACAATTATTTTTGCGAATACAAGCACACTCTTAAAAGGATCCTGAAGTCATCCAGTTTTACCGACGCACTCGAATACTGCCAAGAATTAAATTGCGAATGTACAGAGTCTATATTGAGGGCATCCACCAACAAGACATGTTTCTGTGTCCTCAAAATAAGATTCTTCATTTCGAGGTACTATCTTCCCCCCTATTTTGGTGGATTTTTATGTACCTTATAATTACTTTGTATTTTAAATTAAGACGGGAAACTTATAGTCAACCCGACTGGCTAGTTATTTAATTAGTTTATTACACACAACGTTTCGACCCTATTCTTTTGGGTCCTTTTCGAGTGATACTAAGTCAGTCATCGTCGTCGAATAAGACAGAGTCGAGTTATAAAATATGTATACGTGTGAGCACTGTGGTAGCTGGGCTCGAACTAATATGTCTTAAGAACAATACAAGGTGATGCGAACATTTGTATTTTAACGTGTACCTCCAATTTTTGCCGGTACACTCTTTAGAGTGCATCGTTTGAATTGCAGTTTGTGGTGTGGTTTCGGTAAAAGAAATTCGCATGCATTTTCTCATCCAGAGATTATCGTATCTCGCCCTCGTAAAGACTGAAGATAAGGGTTGAAGGAGATTTAAGGATTTTATCTGCGCCCGACCTTTTCGATCACACTCTGATAGCGCTGGGTCGGCGATCGTGAACTTGAACTAAATACGACAAGAAACAAGTAATATAAATTCTTTTTCCCAGCGTTCCTCGCGGTCGCGAAATCGTGCCAACGGCGATGAAGACCAGAAGAGCAAAAAAGAAGCGTCGCCTCGAAATCTTGAAGATAGTGGAAGCTGACGTCAACCAAAATCAATTGTTTGCCGGCCGTGTGACGGCAACCTGAGACGGGCGAGCCTTCTGGCCTTTGGACTTCGCTCCCAACGCTCACGCCTGTAATCGGCGATACTCAGTCTGCCAAACCTGCGTAAACCGGCCTTTTTTTGTTGGACGATGTGGCGCAAAGTGCACGTCGATCGCGCCAAGACTCGCAAAAATTGCACACGAAACTTAAAATTTATTCGCACGCAGTTGCACCTCCTACCCTA